ACACACACACACACACACACAAACACAAACATTCTGTGCTGAAACGCACGTGAATAGCAATGAAACACATGCACTTTTTGCATAATTTAGGCTGAACAAAACAGCATGACAGCATTTTTCAAGATTTCCGGATTGTTAAATTAATATAATACCACATAATGAATATCATTAATCTTTTTTTTTTGTAAAGTAAAATCTTCATAAAAAATTTTGATGGATGATAAAATTCCGGATTAATATTTTTTGACTATTTTTATAAGTTCAAATTACGATTAGCTATGAAATCAATTTTTTCACTCTGAAAAAATTCACACATTTATGTTGTAAATTTATTAAAGCTATGAATGATTTCAGATGCACTTAATTTGTTTCAATTAATTAAAATTAATATTTTTTTAATCATTTATTTATAAATTCTTATTGCAATTTCATCGCAGATCGCATCATCTCTAATCAACTAAATCTGAAATTTCATTTCTAATTCAACGTGTATATTTGATTTTGAATATTTTAAGTCATATTTTGCTTGTCTATGATCATTAGCACAAATGCGCATGCGGTAATATAAAACAATGATACAATGATTTGAATATATAAATAAATACCCCTCCGTATTTTCTCTAAATCACTTTCCCACACATTACCTTAATTTTTTACTCCCAGAAATTTGCACAAAAAACTGTAAATATAATTCAGTAAATTTCGGATTTATTAACTTTAACTGCATACAAAATTAAAGTCAATAAATCCGGAATTTACTGAATTATATTTACAATTTTTGATGAGGAAATTAATGAGGAAATGATGAGGAAATTTTAAATACTTTTAATTCATTCCTAATTACATCACATATATTGCATATACAATCTTAACAAATTTAATGCAAATTGTAAATATGAAATGGCGAGATCGCATGGTTTTGGTTTTGCTATCAGGAAGAATTATGCAATATATAACCTTTCGTTACCTTACTTTAGCTTATTTTATCAGTAGCATCAATGCTGATAATCTTTTTCAGTCAATTTTCCTTTTTTTTATAAATACTATCAATTGTTTCTTAATCTTTTGCCTTTTCTTTCCTTCTTTCAAAACAAAATCCTTTTTTGTTGAAAGATATAATTTAAGACTGTAATATTCAATGATTTTCAGAATGACTGATAAATGCATGTAAAACTTAGTATGTTTGAATTGCCGAAAGATGTTTGAAGAGCACTGTATTGAGAAAATTAAAAGTGTTAAATAATCCATGCATTCTACCTCTCTCTTTCTCTTTTTCTCCTTCCCTCTCTCTCTCTCTCTCATAAAATTTGCACTGAAGAAATGATAGTCCGATAAGTTAATTGCACAACAAATAAGCGGCATTCTTCTATACCATAACGGAAGAAGTTTACATTTGGTGATCATCGACTTAATGTAACCCATCCAGTTCGTTTCATATGTAAATCACCAATGAATGTAAATGTTGTTTTGCAGAAAAGTAAATGGGAAAGAAACAATTTCGTCATACATTTCATTCATTTTTTTCTTATTGATTTTAAAAAAAGAGAGAAAAGTTAGTTCTAATATTAACAATAAAATTGGGTTAATTTCATAATTTAAAATCAGCAATTATATTATCATTTTTATGGATGCAAATCCATAGCATAAATTTCTGAACAACTTACTGAAAGTAAAATAAACATAGTAAAATAAAATAATATGGAAAGAACAGGAATGACTTTTCAATCATCGGATAAGCACAATTCTTCATTTATATAAGGCTTAAGATGAAACATATATGAGTTCAAAATTTCAAATAATGCATGTTTAAAAGGTGAAAGTCATAAGTGAAGAATAACTGACGAAGAAGGAAAAG